GAATGTATGTTCATAAATTATAATTAAGATATTCACCTTAAACATTTAAGAGTAATCTCAGTTTCTGCTTGTTTTTCGCATACATTAGCACATAAACTGTCGCTGATTAATGAAAAAAAATATTCTTCATTTCCCAAACAACATAATGCATTTAACCATTTTGATTTTAATTCMATATCATTWGACTCTAAAACCAATAAAGAAATAGTAAATATTTTGTAAATTTAACAAGTATAAGTAAGGCAAACATAATATATTTTAATAAAAACTTACGATTTAAAATGTTTAAGTTAAATTGTATGATTTCTCTATTTACTTCTTCATTAAAATATTTAGCTGCTTCTTTGAAACAAGATAATGTCTCTTTTCTAATAGAATCTGTTATATCAGATTTTATTAAATTAATTAAAATACAGTAATAATTTTGACGCTGAGAATTCGTTAATATTTTAGTCGATATTTTTAATGCTCTTAAAGCTGACATTTTTATTTCGGATGATTCGTTTTGAGCATAAAGTAAAAAATAACAACATATTTCTTCCCATCTCGTTTCTAGACCTGGTATAGCTAAAAATAAAACCATGATTTTATTTTCAATTAATAATTAGAAAAAAGAGTTTACTTTGATAAACAAAATTGGATACATACATAAATATAGAAAATTTAATAAAACAGAGTATCGAATGAAAGAACAAGTTCCTACATTATTGAAACATTAGAAGTATTGTAGGGAGACTTCAATTAGTGGCAWATTTACATAAATTTGAGTTAAGATTATACCTATAAATAATTTATGAATATAAAAGTAATAGATTATGAATATATTCTATTGAAACAATTCAAAACTTAATCTTTTTAAATAGTTTGATAAAATAMATATTATAACATTTTAAAAAACCATTAACTTGTCATTTTTTTAATCATGCATGTTTGGTAACTTACATGATAAATTGATAAACATTTGTATACACATATTTGTAATTAATCCCATAGCTTCTATGATTCTTACAATTTCTGTTTTTGACACATCACTTTTGTCAAGTAAGATTAAGTACACCTGTATTAATTATAAATAAATAAATAATTATTATGCAGTTACATTTGTTATGGTATATAAAATAAAATAATTAACTTTACTTTATTTGCTATCTTATGACAGGCATAGTTAGAAGTTTTTCCAACACTACAAAGAAGTTTAATTGAAGGTATAAATAGAGTTGCTTGAGTATCCAACAAAAATCTATTAGAACCTAAAAAAAATCAAATTAATAATTAAATTTCTAAATGAAWCCAGAAACACAAACTTTTAAGAATGATATCCAAAAAATTTGATAGTTGTTCTTTTTCATTGTCTCCTTTAATAATGGTGAGAGAATACAATAAAGCAGTTAAAACACTAA